CGCCGTCAATGGGCAGCCCTCGCCGCGCCCCCCCTCCGTGGCCCACCACGGCTGATGTTGGGGTCGTGGGCAGCCCCCCACCCAGGGCCAGGCTTTGCTGCCGTGCCCACGGCTCACACCACGGTCAGGAGGGGTGGTGTGTCCCTCCCCCTGCCCTTCACTAACCCACTCACCCACGATCTCGGTTTTCTGCTTGGCGTTGTCGTACTCGGCCCCGTACACCGCCACCCCCACAAACGTACAAACGATTCCCCTTCCGTTTTTGGGAAGGTGCCGGGCCCCCAGGACCTGGGCAGAGAGCAAGAGAGACTTGGTAAGAGATGACAGCAAAAGAAAAAAAAAATTAAAAAAACCCCCATGTTTGCATAGCAAGACATTTTCTTTCCAAATAAATCACCTTGGCTCTGCTAATTGGAGAGAGAAGAGACCCTGACAGCCAGCCCAGCACAGCCTGCCTCGCGGAGAAAAACAGCTCCCACCCCTGGAAGCTGCTCTGGTGTGACCGATCACCAATATTTGACTTGTAAAGCCATTAAAAAAGGCAGCTGAACTGCCTCAGGTTCCTGTCTGTCGCCTGGGACCACAGCATCCCTCCTCCAGCCTGCCAAGCTGGAGCTGGGCTGCCAAGCCGAGCCGCCTTCCCCTGCCTGCAGAGCCTCGCTGGACACCCCTGTCTTTGCTGCAACTTCTCAGCCCTCCTGCCTTGACTTGAGGATGAAAACGCCCTGCTCTCCGCTGCTGCTCTGCCTCCTGTTCGTAGCTCAATCTGTGCTCAACTCAAATGACAACCTGCCTCCTTGCAGGAGAAAGAAATCCCAGCTCCCTCTCGCCAGTGGCCATATGTCACTCCGGCGTGCTGTCGGCACGCTGCTCTTGCAGGGGAAGGACGCGCTGCCAGCGCTGGATCATGTGCTTTGAGTCATGCTGGGCTTGAGACGGCTTCTCCATCCGTGAAAGCTGGCTTTGGTGGGGACATCGGGCAGTTTTGCCAGGGGACAAAAAAGGCTGGACCTATCTCTTAAAGGAGACGGCGACGGACTCTTGACACCTGCTTGTTGGAGCTGCATTCCAGAACGCAGGAAGAGTTTGGAAAATAGACAGGGATTTTTAGGGAGGCAGTGGATATGGGGTTGATGGTGCAGATGGGACATGATGGGGTGTCCTCCCTGAGCAGGGTGGTGGCTGAGTGGGATCACACCAGAAGAGAGGTGGCCTCAGAGGAGCTGCAGGCTGTGCACATTGTCAGAAACCTGAGAGCACCTAAAGGCAGGTTGTCCCCTGCCTCCTCCCCAAGCTCTGCTTGAGAGGAAGGGACTTGCAGAGGACACTGCCAACCCACAGATAAATGGTCAACTCGGCTCTGAGACCCCTAGGGATGCCTGTACAGGCCAGCGGGACAGCCATCGGTCCAAACATGAGAGCCATCTGATTTGGCACAGCCCTGACCTTCCCATCCCCCCAGCAGCTTTGTCTGGCTGTCCCATACCCCTGCAGAGCTTCTCCTGTGCAGCTCCATGAGCTGACACGGGAACAGTCCAGCCCTAGTCCTGCCATCCAGCAAGAAAAAGATTCAATGAGCATCCACAGCCCATCCTCCAGTACCCCCCGCCAGCAGCCCCCCCATCCTTTTATCATCGTCAGCAGCACAACACAGAAATGGGCTGAATAGTCCGCTCCGACCTCGAGCATCTTCCGAGAGGGAAGGGGACACAGCAAGGTTGGTAATGTTCAGCCCGGAGCAACTCAGTGACAAGGAGGGGACAGGGCACAGCTCTTGTGTTACCCCGTTGGGAGCCATCCTGGCCAAGCTCTGGGGACAGGGATGTCACCGAGCCATCCTGGCGCCCCGGGCCCATCCTGGCCAATCTCTGGGGACGGGGCTGTCACCTCTGTGGCTCATGGATGCCACCTGCCGGCACTGGGCCCTGGGTGGGGGGGTCCCGGGGGGGGGGAGCATCCAGGGATGCTCCTGCTCCTCCTCTCCAGGCACCCAGGGAGGTCGGTGGTGCTTCCCTCAGCAGCACCCATGGGTCCCCCCTTCAGCAAGGGCTCTCCAAGCCTGCACTGCAGGACAGCTCTTAAGCAGGAGCTGAGGGGTTTGGTGAGGAGCGGCTGCAGACAGAGGCCGGGAACCCAGAAAAACCATTAAATCACCCCAAGCTTGGTATGACCGCATGGATCTGACCCCACGCTGGGATGAGGTACTGACCTCAATAGAGATGGAGAGAGGTTCAACCCCCCGCAGCGTGCTCTTGTCGAAGGGGTCGAAGATGTCATCCCGCATGTTGGTAGGCTGTAAGACGTACCCACACTGGCCGCTGGACATGAACAAGGCCTGGTTCATCTGCATGGGCTTGTCTGGAGAGCACAGACAGGAGATGGAGAGAGACCCTGCACCCCTTCCACAAGCCAGATCAGCCGGGTTATCGGTGCCTCGTGCGAAGCCCTTTGCAATGGGACCTGGCCCATCCCTTGGCAATGCCTCGTGTGCCATGGCCTCACTGCAGCCCCTGCACGTGCTGGGGCCATGGGGTGACTTTCTCATGCATGATCTGCCCAACTACCCGGTGCTCCATGGGTCACCCGCTTCTTTTCCTCCCTCTCATTTCAACTTTCCTTGTGCTGGCTCTAGCATTCACAAAACCACTCCATGAGATACTTGAATTCACAAAAGGAATAAAAAAGCCAACAGGGAAAAAAAAAGAGGCAGGTAGTTTTCTGGTGGGTTGGTGAGCTGAACTGGCTCACAGCAGGGTTTGGGAAGGGCTAGGGAAAGGGGAAGGCTGGACTGTGCGGCAGGAGCAGGAGTGGAAGCTGGGGAAAGGTGAGCAGAGCCATGAGCTTGACTCAGACCCTGCAACCAGCTCGTGTCCCAAGGCTGCGGCTGCACCGTCCCCTTTGGTACCTGCCCTGCCTGTCACCAGGGACCTCGGGGGAACTCCCTGCTTCATCTCCACTTCCTCCTGTCCTCATGGCACCACAACCTCCTGGCTCAGCCCAGCTCCCCGCATCAATCCAGCCCTCTGGAGCACGTTTCTCCTGTGGCAACCACACATCTGGACCCAAACAGCTTGCTCCTTGTAGAGCCCCTCCTAGACCCCCCCCTCCCGTTTGCCAGGACCAGGTTAGCAGGGGTGCAGGCAGGTGGCTAGGAGGAGGTGCAGGGTACCCCAGGAACCTGCCCACCTTTCCTGCCTGCTGCCCTCACCTGGGGTCTGGAAGTTGAGTGCTACCAGCTGGCTGCCGCAGATCCACATGGGCAGGGGGTCGTAGTTGGAGGAGTCGAGGCGCTGGCCCTTGGGGTAGATGCGGGAGAGCTGCAGGCGGTTGTACTGCAGGAACTTCTTGCCTTTGATCTTGTTGACATACTTTTCTGCCTTGGTCTCGGGGAAGGAGGACATATCTCGGTAACAGGCCCTCTCTGTGCCAATCTCTAGGAGGAGACAGCACAGTGTAAGCCAGGAGCACATTTCCTTTCCAGACACTTAACTACCCCGGCTCCCTTCCTAACACCATTCTCTCCTCCCTTGGCTGAGCCACCATCAGGTTATGCAGACCCTGCCCTGCCCCGGTGTGCGTTTGCCGGGTGCCCAACACCGATGGGCAAAAGCATCGAAACCACTCTCAGTGATGGGGCATGACGCTCCCCAGCCCCACTCCCTCAGCAGCTGCTCTGGCTGGTGACAGATCCCAGCAACAGAGGGATGGGGAAGAGAACTTCCACCCTCTGGAGAAGGACATTTCCAGAGCTCTGATGTAAACTGCTTCCATCTGGCTTTGGACACCTGCCCTCTGCTGAGATCCAGCCAAAGCAGCACCTCGGGGCACACCGCGGGCATGACGCTCCCCAGCCCCACTCCCTCAGCAGCTGCTCTGGCTGGTGACAGATCCCAGCAACAGAGGGATGGGGAAGAGAACTTCCACCCTCTGGAGAAGGACATTTCCAGAGCTCTGATGTAAACTGCTTCCATCTGGCTTTGGACACCTGCCCTCTGCTGAGATCCAGCCAAAGCAGCACCTCGGGGCACACCGCAGGGTCTGTAACACCATGGTGACTGCCTGCTGTAGCCACCAGACTGGCAGATGCTCACTCTCTTCATCGAAGGGAACAGGTCGGCAATAGACCACCAGCTCCGAAAGCTCCAGGGCAATCTTCTTCCTCCTCTCCATCATCTTCCCTTCAGAGAGCTGCCAAGACAGGGAGAGAGAGGCATCAGGGCCAGGTGAGAGCAGCGGCGTTGGCTAACCCAGCTCACCAACTGCCCTCAGCGGCAGCACTGGCCTGGTGTGGCCGCTTCTGCCCACGCTGTGGAACCACCAGCACGTCTGCTGGGTCTGCGTGGGGGGACACCACACAAGCACCCATGGGAATAGCCCTCGGTGGGTCCTACCACCTGCCTGGAGCAGGAGTGGTACCGGTACCAGTGCAGGGCAGCTGTGACCTTGTAGCTGAGCCTTGCCACCCTTCACGGATGGAGATCCCCCACCTCCGGAGGCTGCAACGCCCTCCCGAAGGACCAATCTTCCCAGGCATCCAGCCGGAACCTCTCAAGCCACAATGCATGGCCACCACCCCTCACTGTATCGTCAAAGGTTACTCTGGCTTTATCATCATTGTAACTGCTCTACCAGTGATCACAGGCTGCTATCTCACCACCCCGCCACCAGCCTCCACCTGCTCCTCGGCTCCTGGAAAATCCAGGACTTGGCAAGAAGATGTTTCCCCTGCCAAGGGCTCTCCAGACTCACCCGTGCATCAGCCGTCTGCGCTGCCTCCCGGATCTTCTTCACCCAGTCCAGCAAGTCCTCGTGCGTATCGGCCGCCACATCAAGGGACAAGCGCGATGCCGAGGCCATGCTAATGGAGAAGACGAAGAGGCGGTTGTTCTTCCCCTCGGGGCGGATGGCTGTGTAGGGAGAGGGCAAGGTCACACAGAGATGCTGAGCCAAGTCCTTCATACCACAGAGGGAGAGAGGGAGAGGACAGACACTGAGGGACTCTCATGGCTGCTCCGGGACTCTTCAGCTAAGAGGAGAAGCTCCCATTTCTGGTCATTGGAGGCAACAGATGGAGCCTGGGAAGTGATAGGCGAGGCTGCAGAGTGCGCCCTGAGGGGGCTGAGAAGCCTCATGGGGCCTTTGTAATGCCTTCTTCCTCCCATTCCTGCATCTTCCTCCCATTCCTGCATCTTCCTCCCATTCCTGCATCTTCCTCACTCTGTGCCCTGGGGTGCCCAGGTGGGAACATCTACCTGGAGCACAATGTCCTCTGGGCTTGGAGGAGCCAAGGGATGGCAGAGAGCTGCAGACTGAACCCAGCCCGGCCAGTGCCCAGGAGCCCCAGAGCTTGCGGCAGCCTGGCAGGGAGGCAGGAGCACGCGTATGAGTCTGGCCAGTGCCCAGGAGCCCCAGAGCCTGCAGCAGCCTGGCAGGGAGGCAGGAGCACACGTATGCGAGGGAGGACAAATCCTTACAGAAAAGGAGCCTACAAAATCGGTCTGTGCTCCCTTGCCCGCGGGTGGCTTCCCCCTGAGAGCAGGTTCAAGGCGTGCTGGAGCGGCTCCTTGGCAGGACCCCGGCTGCTCCCCGGCTGTAGGGACACGCCTGAGCCCCCAACCCTGAGGCACCCTCTGTGCCGGCAGCAGCAGCGGAGTGCATCACCCACGGCAAGCACACGCCATAGACTGGTCTTCACTTGCAGCATGCACAGGAGTGCCTGCAGACAGATGGAGACCGAAGCCTACTGGCCCAAAAGATCCGCAAACAAACACCCTCCAGACCTCCATCCCTCTCTGGCACTCACCGATCTGGCAGGAGGGCACGTCCAGGACACCTCCGAGCAGGTCTCCCAAGGGGCTGTTCTCATCCAGCTGCTGCTGGGAATGAAGCACAGGCAGGATGGTGTCGGGCACAGAATCACAGAATTTCACAGAATCAATTTGGTTGGAAGGGATCTCCGGGATCATGGAGTCCAACCTTTGCCCTAACACCCCCATGTCAACTAGACCATGGCACTAAGTGCCACGTCCAGTCTTTTCTTAAACCCCTCCAGGGATGGGGACTCCACCACCTCCCTGGGCAGCCCATTCCAATCCCTAACAACCCG